AACAACAAGAACAACAAGAACAACACGAGCAACACGAACAACAAGAACAACAAGCAGAACAAGAACAACAAGAACAACAAGAACAACAAGAACAACAAACACAGCAAGAACAACAAGAACAACACGAGCAACAAGAACAACAAGAACAACAAGCAGAACAAGAATAAGAACAAGAACAACAAGAACAACAAGAACAACAAAAACAACAAGAACAACAAGAACAACACGAGCAACAAGAACAACAAGAACAACAAGCAGAACAAGAACAAGAACAAGAACAACAATAACAACAAGAACAACAAGAACAACAAGAACAACAAGAACAACACGAGCAACACGAACAACAAGAACAACAAGCAGAACAAGAACAACAAGAACAACAAGAACAACAAGAACAACAAACACAGCAAGAACAACAAGAACAACACGAGCAACAAGAACAACAAGAACAACAAGCAGAACAAGAATAAGAACAAGAACAACAAGAACAACAAGAACAACAAAAACAACAAGAACAACAAGAACAACACGAGCAACAAGAACAACAAGAACAACAAGCAGAACAAGAACAAGAACAAGAACAACAAGAACAACAAGAACAACACGAGCAACAAGAACAACAAGAACAACAAGCAGAACAAGAACAAGAACAAGAACAACAATAACAACAAAAACAACAAGAACAACACGAGCAACAAGAACAACAAGAACAACAAGCAGAACAATAACAAGAACAATAACAAGAACAAGAACAATAACACCACCACCACCACCAGCACCACCACCAACAACAACAACAACAATTTCCTCAAACGAACAGCATTTGCATCAGCATCATCAGCAACAACAGTAACATAAGCAGCAACCAACACCGCCCGAAACCATGGCAGCATCAACGGCAGCAGCAACAACAAACAGGACCAGGATCAGCAACAGCGAGAGAAACAGCAACGGTAACAGCAACAGCAGCACCACGAGCAGCTGCAACTAACAGCATCAGCCACCGCAACAGCAACAGCTGCAGAAAACAGAAGCAGCGCCAGCAATTAAATAGAAAAGCAACAGCAACAAAAACAGCAGCAGTAGCAGGAACAGCACCACCAGCAGCAGCATCAACAACGCAGGGGCAACAGCAAGCCAAACTGACACACTAGAACGGCAACCAGCAACAGCTACCAAATCAGGAAGACGAACAGCGGCAACAAGTGAAAAAGCGGCAGCGCTAGCAGCAACCCACCGGAAGCAATAACATGACCAGCAAACCAAGCAGTAACAGCAACAGCTTTTGTAACAACAGCAGAAGCAGCAACCAGCAACAGTAACATTAGCAGAAACAGCAGCAGCCAACCATCATATGTTTGTCTCTCAAAAAACAACGTAAGAAAACAACTAGGGTTCTGTGTGAGAAGAAACATCATCCGCAACAGCAACCAAGAAAAGAAACAGTAGAAGTGCAGTAACAGCAATTGCACCTGGAGCAATAAGGGTAACGGGGAAGGGTATCATCCCTGCGCTATTCCCTTTCTTGCCCTAAGGCTGTGACAAACTTCTCCAGCCTGCGCATGGCGACAACACTGGGATTTTGTTCGGTAGGAAGTGAGCAAGAGACGCCCAAAACAGGTTCTGAAAGCCGTTTTGGTTGGTCTCAAGCCAAAACGGAAAGAAACAATTGTGAGGCCATTGACCTTCTCCAGTTGCAACGATTTATCCGAAAGGCTTGGTGGATTTAGATCCCGTCAAGCACAAAGAGATTCATCAGTTCGAATCCAATCAGCAACTCGGCTGCAGAGACATTCTTAGTTGCTGCCCCCCCTTATCCATCTGCCATGTGCCAGAAAGAAACTACTCCCGTGCCAAGAGCTTGGACAAGCCGGTTGGACGCCATCAGCAACAAAATAATACTCCTTCACTGGGTCTGTCTCTAAAAACATCCTGAGTCTGCCGTTGGTGTTCCTCTTGGAAAACCGGCTGACACCAAAACCTTTGGGGCATGAGTTCCATCCAGAGATCTTTCGGTGGATACCAAAAGAACACGCCGAGCGGAATTGTTGACCAACCATTTGTGGAGGATTCCATCGTCTCCCTTTTGGGCATTTGGGGGGCGATGAATTGGTTTGCAAGGGCCATTCAGCACACGTCGCCTGCACCTGCAGCCGCAGAAGCTGGCGGCCGCCTGCCTAAGAGTCAAGTGAAGCGACCAACTCCATACCTCTTAACCTTCTGCGAAAAGAAAGGGTTGCTGACAACCAGCCACGAAAAGTCACAAGATTTTGAACTGGCGCTAGCGCAAATCTGGCCAATTTCAACCCTGGAGGCGGAGTTCGGACGCATGCTTGGACGGGATCCCAGGGTCTTAGATCTTGGCCACAACTATGCCATGCGCGGGGAGGATTTTCGCTTTTGCCTTGACCTCGTCATGCGTTAGCCTGGGAGCCAAACTACAATCTTGACAAGCCGGAGTCAAGGGATGCTGTCGGGAGCAGCCGGCCTGTGTGACGGGGTTGCAAGCATCCAGCCCGAAACCAAGATTGCCTGGTTCACCTCCTTCAAGGTGTTTGGGCCACGAAAGGGCAAAAAATAGATGCGCCGTTTATGCAGTCGACTGCGCAGTTTCGCAACAAACCCTTTTATTGTGCTTCCTTTTTATGTCACTTGCCTCACAGCAAATGTTTCGTTCAAATCCCGGGAATGTTTGTTCCACATGGCTGGGTACGATGGTTCAAGAGAGCAGCTATCAAACACCTTGTTAGGAGATTTGTTCAGGGGCGCCAGAATGAGATTCAATGGAAGGACTGTTTTATTGAAGATTGATTGCTGTTGCCCAAAGCAAGCCCAACAATGTGCGTTTCCCTTTCTTTCAACTTACTGACGAGCCAAGCAGCAAAAACAACATGTTTGGACAAGCAGCATTTCGCTTTCTGCCCTTTCCTGTTGGGTGGGCGGCCATCATGGTGGCAATGGGGAAAGAGGAAACGTGCTTTTCAAACAGTGTTCCCCGGAAAAACGGGGACTCTAAGGCCTTGGCTCCCTTGAAGGCCCGGCAGTTCAATAATCGCCCGTTACAGCCCAGCTGGTCCAGGACCGCCTTCAGCACCTCGCTTCCAACAACTCTATGCTAATTCCGATTCCCCAAAAGTGTTTACTAAGGGGCTCTTGCGGTAAGAGTTAAGGCCGGTTTAGATCTTTTGATGAAACCGCTGCGACGCGGGGGTGTTTTTTTGAGAAAGCCTCGTGCCAAACGCGTTTTTTAGAACAAAATGTGTGCGTCTTTGATGGCAGGGCCGCCACGCGGTGATATCTTTTTGTTTGGTCGCGCTACGACGCTTGGACAACCGAAGCTCTAAAACCATGGCAGTTGTCGCAAAAACTTGTCTTGCGTGCGAGAGCTTCGCATGAAACGGACCTTTCTTCAAAACTGCGCTCTCGCTGCGGCGCCGCGCCGACCTTCGGATTTGCGTGTTGCCACAGAATTCCATGGCCAGTGCCGCCATGCGTTTGTGGCGGGCGCTGTATGTTCTGCGCTGATGCTATAGGATGTGTGGCAAGCCCAGCATTTTCATAAACGAGGTCTGCGAATTTCGTGGCAGGCGGAGCGCTTTACTTATTTACAAGCGTTGCGAGGCTGAACCCTTTGCGGAGATCGTGCGTGTCGAAGCGCTTTCGCTGCGGCGCCGTGCGAATGACAACTGTTGCATTGCGCCCGACACTCATACCGGTTGACCAGAACCACATAAGGAGGAACCGAAGCATTGGGCAGAGGGACATCCCCTATCCCTTGCTCTGCTACGGGTATGTCTTGAGCTCGGCGAACCCTCTGCGGCGATCGTGTGCGTCGAAGCACTCTCGCTGTGGCGCCGTTCGAATTTTCTGTCTTCTTTGCTTGCGAAACGGTGTTTGGAAGTTGTCTCGTGGTTCGCGCGTATGCTTTCACGATCGCACGTTTGTCTCGGGTCCAAGCAGCTCCGGCTTGAAAATCGCAGCCTTTAGTTACGAAAGTAGCACGAAGAGCAAAGCCAGAGCTCCGGCTGCAATATCGCAACTTCTAAGCACAAAAGTAGTACGCGCTTCCGCAGCTCCGGCACAAAACTCAACAGCTCCGGCAGAAAACTCGCAAGTTTTAAGAAAAGTAGTACGTGAAGAGCACTTCCAGAGGCGCGGCTGCGAAATCGCAAATTGAGTACAAAAGTAGTACGCAAAGCGCACTCCCGCAGCTCCGGCTGAACATTCGCATGTTTTAAGTACACAAGAAGTACGTGAAGAGCATTTCGAGAGGCGCGGCTGCGAAACCGCAAACTGTAAGTGCAAGAGTAGTGCGCGAAGTGCACTCCCGCAGAGCTCCGGCTGGAAAATTCGCAAGTTGTAAATACAAAAGTACGTGAAAAGCTTTCAGAGGCTAAGTGCAAAAGTGGCGCGCGAAGTGTGTTCCCATGGCTCCGGCCATGGTTGTACTCGAAGTGCGTTCCCCCAGCAGCTACAGCTCCGGCTGCAAAGCCGTAAGTGTTTTCGCGCAAGGGTAGAGCGCGAAGCACGCTCTCGCAGCTCCAGCTCGGACATCGAAACTTCAAATCTTTAAGTGCGAAAGTCATGCTCGGAAAGCGCTCTCTCGCATCTCCAGCTCGAAAATCGCAACTTGCAAGCACAAAAGTAGTATGCCAAGGTGCGCGCCTGGAACACCGCCTTCCGGGCTTGTTTGCACATTTTTCTTGCAGGCGCACCCTCAGGACATGGACCCGCTAGGCATCTTCCGGCATGGCGTGGCATCAGGGTCAGACGAGACATTTTGTTGGGCGAGGTCTAAAGTTATGCTTTCTCATTGCCGCTTGGCACGGGCGAGATGTTGCCTTAGACAAACATGGCACTTCTTCATTGCATCAATTTTGACGGTTCCGGCCAAAGCAATGAGGCATGTCAATGCCTGGGCCTGTCAAAGCCTTCAAGGGATGTCAAGCCCGGAGGCTTGACAGGCCTGAGCCTCACCCACAGGTGCCGCGGACACCGGGCCTCGCTGGGCTGCATAGACCAGGGCAAACCCCGCAGCAGCAGGCAGCGTTTGGAACCTGTTCATTGGCAGGTAAAAAGGGGGGTGGCTTCCAGTTGAGTTCCCTTTTGTGCCAGCACACCCCATAGTCCTTTTTCAGATTTGAATGTGAGTCACACACAAAATCTGGCAACACAAAGTCCACCAAAAACCCATGGCAAGGCTGGCCATGGGTGACGCCACACATCTCTTCCGTTGGATCTGTAGATGTGACTTGATTGATGGCCCTGCCTCCCTATAAAATGCATGGCCATGTGTCGGAGGCTCTCAATGCAGGGGAACTGCTTAGAGAGCTGTCGCTGCGTGCGGACCGTACGAGCATTGCCTTTGTGCCCAAGAACGCATAGATCAAAAACGAGTCATTTGACATGCGGCGAAAGCGTATCGCCCCGAACAACAACGAAAGTTCAGTCCAATCAACTTGCTATGTAGAGCCGGGCCGCATGAAACAAACAGAGGGTACTTCCTTGGCAAGAATCATCTTGTTAGGATCCAACACATCACCCTGTCAAGCACACGCCAGGGTGCTTGTCAACAAATTGACTTTGCACGGCTTTGCCTAGGTGCCTCGCCTGGCGGCTGCCAATAGGCAGGGGGTCACCAGAGCTAGAGAAACCGAACCCAACCCCATGGCAACGAGAAACAAGACCGGTAGGAACCGTATCCGAACAAGTTTCAGTTCCAAACAAAATGAACCGACTGGAGCCGCAACAACGCATGAGTTGTATTGCATCGAGCGCGTTACACGCTTGATGCGTTTCATTTGTGTGCTGATTTGCCACGCACCCGATTCAGTCAAAGCGTTGAGCTTGCCAAGATTGTGCCTCTAGGCAAGACGCTGGTCACAAGATTCCAACGATGTTTCCCAGCTAAACCTGGGAACCCCCTGCTGTCGCCTGGCAAGGTCGATTGCTCGATTTTGCCCGGTCTTTGGGCTTGTAAGAGGAAAGGGCCTGCAGCTCCGAGTTTCCACCTTCTGCGGATATGAAAGTATACATTGTGCAAAAAGCCCAGTAAAGGTCAGCAACTCAGGTAGCGCGCTTTTTCACTTGAGCCATGCGCAGCGAGCACGACGAGCTGCGCAAGTGAGACACTCGCGTTAGGGGTTGTTTACTGGTCCCAAAGGCCATTGATGAAATATCACCACATACACCACACCCCCCGTAGGAGGACAAATATTCGAGATGGGCGCCTTGTAGCTAGTTCGCAAGGCGACATCCAATCCCGAATTGGAATTGCCGGAAACCTGGAATGTCGCTGCCACACTCCCAACGACCATCTTGACCATTGGTCGCGGCCCAGCTGTCACAGTCGTGGCAACCGGTTTTCCGAATTGGGCGTGTCACAGGTCTTGATCCTGCATGTCAAGACTCCTACAGCTCCCCCTCCAAGTAGACTGTGCCGCTGGTTGACCGCAATGCGGAGAGCTGGTTAAGATGTCATCCGCATTGATCTCCTGAGCTCTTTCTTCAGGTGGCACCAGCCCTAGCCGGACGACATACCTGGGGACAGCCTTGGCTCCGGCGCATGGCCCTGGCTCGCACCGCGCGATCTTCTCGGTGAATTCTCCCCGCGTGGCCGGGTCTTGACAAAGCCAAGCGCGCAGGCCCTCATACTTTTTGCTCCTATTCACCGAAATGTCCTTTCGCCTCGCGCCGCTTTGTGTTGTGTGAGAATTGGGCCTCGGGCATGTCCCTTGCCAGGGGAATATCAAGCTGCGCCAGGCTGTGTTCTCACGGCCCGGACCCAATTTCGACACAAGCGTGTCGGGCGACCTCAAAATCGAAGGGGGTCCGCTGGTACGCCGGAGTCTCGTCTGCAAGCCTTTCCGGACCATTGCTTGTAGGGCTTGACAAGGGTGATGCTCGCGTCCCCGTCCTTTGCAGTCCGCGATCCGTTTCTGGTAATTCCGCCTCAAGCTGACATACGTCCTGTTGGCCCATATGCACTTTGCGGCACTTGCGTCGGAACGCATAGATTTCCAACCCTCGGTCACCGCGGCCTCACCGTCTCCGGGGCGTACAATCTGCAGCCAAGCTGAGCGAGCGGCTTTGCGTCCGACGCGATCCGAACCGTAAGGTAGGCGTGGCCCCTGCGCGTTTGCTTCTGCCCCGTTCCTCCCGGTAAAACCCCCCATTAGACCAATCACGAGTTGCTCTTGTTGTTCGAGATGTTGCAACCGCATGTTCAAAGCACGAACCAACTACATTTCAAATACATGCCATTGCAGAGCGGAATATAAGGGAAGGCACAAGATCGAATCCTGAGCAGGCTGGATTGCGTCGTGCTTATTGGCCCTGTGCGGCAAAGCACTATTGCACGGTTCGCAACATCACGGATCACTCGGATTCTTACTCATCTTGCAAAAGTCGCTTCGGCGAAGATTTTTTCTGGACCATAGTTTGGTTGTCAGATCAACTTCTGAAAGGGCCCAAGAATCGACCGAACAAAGCCACTGAAGTTCGAGCCTACCTCAAGGGCAAGCATTTTCCTGGGGTGCGCCATCCATCCTGACTTCCTTTGGAGACATGAGCCAACACGAGCCTTGGTGGAGAAGGACCACGATGCTCCAATTACGCCATTGCGAGTAAATCAGATAAATTGTCTGACGGATGAGAACGTTGACGGCAAGGAGTTCCTCCAGAGTCACCGCCGCCAAAGGACCCGGTCATTGACTTAAAGACCAGCAAGGGTGCCCTTGTTTCCAAAGAGGAGGGGCTCATTATGATCCGGGGGGTGTCAAGGCAAGGACGTACTCTGCGAGTAGCAAACCAGACAGTATTCCGCCAGTTTTGTGGGTCAACAAAGCAACGGAGAGAAGCGATCATCTGATGCAAGGACCCGGCAGCCTCTGCTTCCAAGACAGTTTCCAAGAAGGCTGCAACATCGGCGGTACATGATTATGGGATGGATGATGATTTTCTAAAACTCCAACCATCGAAAACACCACTATGAAGGACGATATCCAAGATGCGTCGGGGATTGGAAATCCCTGCCGCTCCGCGTTTCGGTCAACATCGGCGCAAGATTATCCAATCCCATTGGCCACCTTATGATTCATGCATTGGTTGCTAGACCTGTGAGTCGGAAGGAAATAGATCGAAACCCCGATGCCCAGAAATTGAAGATGTCGAATGGAATATGTTGGAGAGCAAGAAGGCGTGGGATTGCCAGACCGTTTGCGAATGGCTGCGAGTGGTTAAGGAAGCTAAGAAGAGAGGCGAAAGGTCCATGTTGGCAAAAGAATTGACATTTGTGTTGAAAAGGGTAGTGAACTCGAAAAGGGAAACAAGCCCTCTCCGCAAGTCGAAAGGTAGAAGCGTGCTTCAGGGACAATGCGAAAATGCTGACTGGGCAAGCTTTGTTTGCTGAATTGGGTTCTGCACCGTCCACCATAGATGCCTACAAGGACCCTGTGTCGCCCTGGCTTGTGGGAAAAGCATTGTGAAGACGTATCCCTTGGGGTTTCGTCTTATTTATCCTGGAGCATGGCCTTCCGCTTTCTGGCATCCTAAGCTTCGTCTTTTGCTTGCCGTCTACGTTGGCGACTTCAAGATGCCCCGCCCCGTCATGAATATGAAACAGGATGGTCATTGATTTCTTCAAAGATTGACACGGGCCCTCCTACATACCTTGGATGCGAACACATTCTTTCTCAGACGGGCAGCTCTCTTCAAATCATCACTTTTGCTCACGCGCTTGATCCTGACCTTGAAGACCCGTCTGAGAAGAAATCTGCCAACATGTACAGCCAGGCGAAAGTTTCGCCGCGCACCTAACGGCGTTGCAAGAAATCGGGCTTGCAAGTGTTCGCCACATGGTGTGTACGCCTTGTATGCATCACGACGGGTCGGCCAAAGAGCGCTGGCACTGTGATGGGGTAGAAGGTGAATTCCAGACCGTCCCTTTCCTTTGCTTTGGGCGGGCTCTTCCATGAAAACGTTACAAAAGCTCGCCTAGCGGCTGCGGCCGTGAAGAAGCTGATGGTCAAGACTTCTGCGAAGAAAGCCAATCGAGCTCAGGGTTTTTCCTATCTCGATGAACTATAAGCCAGTGACAGTCGTCACCCATGACATGATGGGATTCCTTCAGCAATGTCGAGCTACTCCTTTTCAGGACGAGCGAACTGCGAGATCATCGACTCACAGTAGAAGGGCGTTCTTCAGCCTGCCATCAAGTGGCCAAGGAACAGCATTTTTTGGAACGACAAAGCCGTGGACAAGTTCGTCATCCGATTCAACATGACCCAAGTGAAGTTCGATGGTTGTGCTGTTGGTATCGAGAACCGAAGGTGTCTTAATGAAGATACCTTGGACTGTTAAAAACAACATGCGTTGTCTTCATGTTTTTGTGCCTAAAACCGTTGGCATTATAGGCAGAGAGGCCAGCGTGCCAGAATCAGGCAGTGGTTTGTGCCTAACTGACCTTTGTTGGGCCCAAGGGTGGCGCCCGAATGTCAGATTGTTGCGCCACATGTTGCCGGGGTCAGGCACTGGTTTTTGCCGAAGTGCATTTTTTCGCAACAAGAGTAGTGCCGAATGTCGGACTTTGCTGCCGAATGCTGTTGGGTTCTGCACAAACTGTCGTGGCCCTGATGACATTCTGCACAAGAACCGGCCGTGGATCCAAGATTCTGCACAAAACTCGTTGTTCTTGCCGATGTGTTTCTTGATATCTTATAGGAATTTTGCGGGTGTGTTGGTTCTGCTGACAAGGCAGTCCTTGGGTCCGTGCAACAAGCCTGGCAGGCCAGTCCCTGCAAGGCAGGGCAACATTGCGCAGCAGCCCTGGGGCACCACCTTGCGCACCAGTCACTGCAGCGTAGTCCTCGCGCAGCAGTCCCTGCGCGTGTCTTCTTCGCGAAACTTTGGCAAAGCAGTCCCTGCACAAGCAGTCCCTGCGCATCAGTCCCTGCGCAGCAGCCCCTGCGCTGCAGTCCCTGCGCGGCAGTCCCAGCACAGCAGTCCCTGCGCGGCAGTCCCTGCACGGCGGTCCCTGCGCATCAATTTCAGCAAGGCAGCGCAGCAGTCCTTTCCCGCCAAGGACCATTGAATCAGCGCAGCAGTGCCTGCGGAGCAGGCCCTGCAAAAGTAGACCCCAAAAGCGCGTCAATTCAGGCAGGTTCTCTCGCCTTTCAGCACAGACTTTCCGGCGTGCTGCGAGCTGGTCGCCCGGCGCAGGCTGGAACATGCACCTGCTTCTGGGGTGGAAGCAACGAGGCAAACGTTGATGTAGGGATAGGTCCGCCGTGCCATGTTTGATTGCCAGGCACCCGCACTTGTTTTGAAACCCCTGTAGCAAGCGAGCGTGAAAACCTCGTCAAGCCAGGCCCATGTTTGTGGACAAGGTTGCGAACATCTCAAACTGTCTCAGCCGTAATCATGTAAGGACCTTCTGACAATTGCTGCATGCTGGCAGCTAACTGCCTCTGACGTTAGCTTGTTTGCGCAAGAATGTTTGCGCTCAATGCACGGACGTCCTGAACACGCAGAGCGGCGTATTAAACGCAACGCCGCGCCTCTGCGAAGAAAATACGTGCATGAACCTGCAAGTTTTGCAAGCAGAAGCAGGCGTCGCAAGTCAACAAAGCAAGAGCGGCGCCAGCTGGAGCACCTTGTCAGACCTCAGGCGAGGACATAGCAGCGAGTTGCGCGCGACCCGCCTAACTACAGGCTTGATCTGACTGACAAATCTTCCACGGCTTTTCGGCGAGTGTGGGGCGACACCAGACCTTGAGTTTTTGTGGGGCCATGTTGCAAAACCTTTGCTGAAGAAAGGCGTGGGATATGTTGGTCCCTCCCTATCCATGCTTTGCTGGTTCAACCACAACCTAGTCCCCAGTTGGCTTGAAACAAGCTGTGACCACTTTGGCGGCAGATTTGGGCCTGGGCCGCCGCGCGATCGGCAAGCGAAGGGGCAGGCGTCGACGCGCGGGTCACATTCTGGAGCGGGGGTGCCAAACACCAGAAGCTCCATGTGGTTTAAACCGCAGCACTTTGCATGCAAGTTTGGTTGCGAGCTGGGAACTTGGTGATTGGGAAAATTATTTGCCGGCTGGCTGACTGAGGATCACAGGACTTTACTCAGCCCCCCTCAGGTGACACCCCTCAGGTGAAAAACACTTAAACATGTATTTGAGGACATTTGAGGGAACCAGTTTGAGCGAGGTGGCTCCTGGAAGGTTTTGAGCAAAAACCTGCAATTCAGAAAGTGCTCAGGAAGGAGTGGGTTGAAGACGTTGTGTCTAAATATCCCTTTTAGGGCTAATTATGCTTCAGCCGGATCAACTAAAACACATCGCTCCAGGGAATTTGTGAGACATCTGGGGTTCCTTGCTTCTGCAAGGATAAGCACACAGTTTGCTGGAGCTGTCTGTGCCTGCTGGAGCTTTATCAGAACTCGGAATCCAACTGTTGGCAATGAACCTCGCAGCGGGAGAATGTGCGATTTGAACAGTTGCTTATTTGTTGCCACAGTTCATTGCTCCTCTGCTTGTTTTGATATGCCTTGTTAAGGCGCTTTAATCTTGTTGTTTTTGGTATTTGTGCTCTGTTTGGGCTTTTTTGAAGCATTTAAGCGCATTTGAGAGCATTTGAGAGCATTTGAGAGCATTTGAGTGCATTCGAGTGCATTTGAGTGCATTTGAGTGCATTAAAGCTCCCTTCAGGTAGAAGCAATTCATGGCCATGCAGTAAACACTTGAGTCAACGCGGTTCACCTTCCATAGGGATTGTGAATTGAAATGCTCATTTGGAACAAATAGTGTGATGATGATGATGTCCAAGTCTGGTAGATAAAAAATGCCTCAGTTGATTCTGTCAGCCAACATGCTTCAGTTGAAACCATGCAATTAGACATGCCACAGCTTCCATTGGTCCGTGCTTTTGAGTGGGCTAGGCAATCGCACCCAAGAGAGGGTACAAGCAGGGTCGAGCAAACCAGCGCACATGTATCAGGGTTACTTGGGCCACAACCACAACGGCTTCAAACAGGCGTGACACGTTGACCAACATCGAGGCAGATCGAGAGTAGTTGAAAGCTTTTATACCCTCAAATGGCCTCAAACACCACACATTTGGAAAAGAACCTTTAAGAACATTTAAGTTTCAAATGGACGTAAAAGGCCATAACAAGACTTAAAAAGCCCAAATAAGAGATAATAGGCCAAACTGAGAATTATGAAGTGCATTTGAGAAAGCGTTGTTTTGAAGATTGGCATTTAAGCTGGATTCACCTGAGGGGTGCCACCTGAGGGGGGCCGAGTAGGGTTCTGTGAGAGGACAGTCGTAGTCTGCGTCATGTAGCAGCAACCGCGAAGTACAATAACGCTTGCGAGACCCCAATCTCTTGCAACCCTGGTTGTGTTTCACAGGCCCGGCTAGACGGACAAAAACAATCTGTGTGTGTGGGCTTTCCAAAGCGTGTGGGCGGAGTGAGGCTGCCTGAAGTTGGGCGGCTGGTTGCGGAGTGTGCGCGTTGCTTGTGACTGGGCGCGGCGCTTCAAAATTCAATCGCGCTAAATGGACCCTGCGCAGCCAAACTAGTAATTGCGTTCAGCGCGTTGCTGGCCAGCGCGCGGCCAGAAAACCTGGAGCGTGACGCGTCAATGCTTGGATTTGCGCAGCCTACAAAGACAGGCTAGCAGCCGTTGTCCTCGCGAATAACCAGTTCAAAGGTGCTAAGCAACAAACCCGGTCGCAGGTCAAAAACCACAATTGCAAGAAAAAAGGCTTCAGGGCTGACTCAGTCCCTTGAGGCGGCCGAGTGGGCGATCCAGACGCTTGCCGAAAGGCTGGAGCCCAACCCGAACGTTATCGTCATCTCCTGGTCTGGCATCGATGTCGTGGGGCGCGGTGGTTGCAGCGATGTTCCTGCTATTCCGGCCGCCCTCGCGGGATTGGGCCACGAACATGGGCGCGAAAGGCTGCAGATGACATTGTTGAGGGAAACGCCCAAATTATCACGACGGCCCGGGATCGCCTCACCTATGTGGCTACGCGGAAGGACTTCCATCAAGTAGTCGTCTTAATCCCGACATACTTCGAGGTATATGGGCTCAATGAATCCTATCAAGCGCAGATGCGGGGCCACGCACCAGTACTCGGCCGCCAAAGCAAAGTCACGGTGAGCAATCCCCAGACACTTGTCAGCAAGACATCACGCGGCGACCGAGCGAACACAAACGACACGAAGATTAACTGTCGCCGATATATACAGTTGTTTGCGGCAGCCGCGAAGCTCGGCCACGACATTGGCCAAATTGAATACACTTGACGTGTCAATTCCGATCTGGGGCGCGTTGCCTCCGGCAACGGATGGCCCGTGCTGAAGTGAACCCTAAGGATCTATTCGACAACGAGGTCCGGCAGAAGGAGATTGACGCGTAATCAAGGTCGCAAGGGGCCGCCACTTGAACGATGCTCCCAAGAGCAGGCATTTTTAGCCAAATTGAATATTCCAATTTCACGTTCATCTGCAGTGATGAGGTGATCAGCAGTCAAATGGTCTCCGAGCTTCTTTGCCCCTTCTTGTGTCGACCCCCCCTTCTGCCTCGACTGGTATTTCCTCTTCTTGGCTCGAGCACGTGTCTCGTAGAAGATGTTCTTTGGCGTCTGGCCCTTCAAGTGTTGAAGTGCTATGGCTTCATCCTCCACCATCCTTTCCGTGCGGATGAGATGTCTCACGGACGACTTCGTTTGGAGGACCAAGAGTAGAGCGTGTCAAGCTACCTGGCGGTCGCAAAATCAAGCCGGAGGTCAGAGATGTTGCTCTCTTTTTCCAACCGGACACAACATGCGTCACAACCCCAAAGTTACCGCTCCACCTTCCACAGCGGTTGGTGGTGAGGATGAGGTGGTTGTCAAGCGCGAAGATCCCGAAGCGTCCGTTGAAGGACTCAATGCTGAGGAGGACTTTGCTGCTACCGACGATGTTAGGGATGATGACTTTCAGGTTGAAGAGTTTTCCGTCCATCGGAAGATGTGGTCAGTGAAGAAGTGCTTCAAGGAGGACCAAACGACATCGTTCCGGAATTTGTATCGAAACCACATGTAAAAGACGCGATGATCCTGCCATTGGCCGTCATAAGCTTTAAATGGGGAATGCGAATCACACACATCCGCAAATTGAGCGTCGCCCCTCGAAATCAAATCTTGAGCGCTCCCGGAGTCAGCAATCCCTGGAATATAAGATGCATCAATTGAGATCTTCGCAGCCGCAGCAGCCTTCTTCTTTGGAGAAACCTTCAATTCTTCGGGCTCGGCCGCTAGGCGTGCAGGAATACAGCGATCACAGCCGAAATCGGAATCACATTTGAATCCACAGCCGGCCTTTGACCCGCTCACCATTTCGTGAAACATCTGCTGATGCATGGGGCCAATGAGTTCAGCATCAGGTCATGCGTTCAAGGTCAACAACTCAGGTAGCCCGCTTTTTCTTGAGCCACGCCAACAAGTATGACGAGCTTACCAGTGAGACACTCATGCATTAGGGATTGTTTACCGGTTCCAAAGGCTGTTGAGAAAGTATCATCACATAAACCACAGAAAGCATTCCAGCAAAGTAGAAGAATCGAAGCTGGTGTTTTCAAAACCTGAAAGCCATTTTTACAGGGTTCAGTTCCATGTGCGCAGAACCACCAAGATGGGATACGAGTTTGTCCAGCAGGGTTGGCGGGGAGTATGATCTTGACCCACTCAAGGGGCTGGCTGAATTGCTGGCTTGTAGCCTCCGTTTGGCATAATGGCCAACAGCTGAGCTCCGCGCGCACGTCCTGTGGGTAGCAGGGTCTTGCCACAACCTCATCTTTCCACTTTGTCCTCGGGCAAATGGGCCCAGCCTTCCTCTGACGCACCGGTGACAAGCCCCTGAATCGCCACCATATTTTTGCTAGGTTGAGACTAACTGTCTGAACAGCATGACAAACATATTGAACTCGGTTCAAGAAACTTGCGTACTTGCCTACAATCGGAAGTTGTTGGTTCCGCGCTACGCTCCCAAATCCGACTGGTCTGGGGCCGCAGCCTCTTCACCCGGAGCACCTACGCTAGCGATGCTTTGCCGCGTGCCGGAGACCGGGCTCGACATCGCGAATCGGCGCTTCTGAGTCAAGCGGCAAGGCTGAGGACCCACATGTCAAAACAAGGTTGGAAAACACGTAGATCACACTGAATCAAATTAACTGTCCAGCTCTGATCGCACGCTCGTCCAGCAAGCCTATATAAACACGGCAAGTCGCAAGTCCCCCAAATCAGGCGAAGAAGCTTGCGGGGATTCCCTTCACACAATCCCAGTTAAAGTCCGCCAACATTGCTCGGCGTGTCGGACACCTAAGAGAGGATAGAGGATAACCCCCCCCCAACTCCACCCCCGCCCGACGTCTGATATGTAGGGTACCGGGGGGGGGGGTCCCCCACGTGCCGCGCGGTAATTTGATGACGTTCCACTAAACGTAGTCTTCGGGGAGCCGGTGTCGCCAAACAGGGGTCCCAGGCTCAAATCCCCCTGCCGGCTCTTTCTCCTTTTGCCGAAAATCTTGAAAACTCTGTGCTTTGGACGTCCTCTTTGTTGCTGGGGACCACAGGGGAAATGCAAGGAAGTGCAAGGAAATGAGGGGAGGAATAGGGAGTCGACATGACAGGAAAGCAACGGGAAATGAAAGGGAAACAAAGGGGAACTGAAAGGGACATGATAGGGACAGAAATGAAAACAAGGGGAGTGCAGGGGGAATGAAAGGGAAACAAAGGACAAGGCAACCAATCGGCACGACGGGAGATGCAGGGAACTGACTCACAGCGAAAGAACGGGACATGCATGGAAAATGAAGCGGACATGCCGAGAAAATGACAGGGACATGAAGGGGGAGTTGAAAGGAATGGAAGGGACATGACCAGTACATCATGGGAAGCGTGAAAAGGACATGGAAGGGAAATCAATGGGAAAGCCAGTAGTTCAGGGTCATGAAGGGGCAGTGCCTGACATCGAGGCAACTCAGGGTTGACGTGACGCTGCAATGCAGAGAGAGAGAGAGAGAGAGAGAGAGAGAGAGAGAGAGAGAGAGAGAGAGAGAGAGAGAGAGAGAGAGAGAGAGAGAGAGAGAGAGAGAGAGACAGAGACAGAGACAGAGCCAGAGTCAGAGAAAGAGACAGAGAAAGAGACAGACAAAGAGAGAGAGAGACAGAGAGAGAAAGAGACAGAGAGAGAGAGAGAGAGAGAGAGAGAGAGAGAGAGAGACACAGAGAGAGAGAGAGAGAGAGAGCGAGAAAGAGAGAGAGAAAGACTAGGTTTCTCAAAGGCCAGCCTGAAACCTCCTGCTCGCGTCTGGCCCCACAGGCCCAGCCCCTTCCGCAGTCTGAGACTGGTCTCAAAGTATGCCAGCCTGAGACTAGCCTCAGTCCCTCAGCCTGCCTGCTGGCGTGTCTTGCGTGTCTGCGACTGGCCCAGCCCAGCCAGCAACTCGCCACCCAGCCTCAGGCCCAAGTGTGTATGAAACAGGCCTTGCCCATCCAGCAGCTCAGCCCAGCCCGCCCAGCCCCAGGCGCAACCAGCAGCGTAGTCCGGCTGCCCGGCAGCCAGCAACCCACCCATGGCTTCGCAGCCTCGTGGCTGAGACGAGCTTCAGGCCCAGCCTAGCCAGCAACCCACCTGCCCAGCCCAGGCCCCGACGCATCTCAGGGCATGCCAGCCGCTAGGCCGGCCCCAACTCCCAGCCCACCAACAGGCTCAGCCCAGCGTGCCAAGGTCAGGTTTCTAACGTGTCTGAGACTGGCCTCAGGCCAACGACCTTTTACTTGGGCAACTTGACGGGTTTGCTTTTAAACAGGGGTCCTTACATGAAAGGGGACATAGAACCCCAGGTGTTTGAAGGAACATGTAAGTAGAAGCCAAATGACCACCAGCTACCAACTGCAAAGCTGCTAGGTGAATTCACACGGTAGGTTTTTTGTTGCGGTTCTCATCCTGAAGGACCGAAGGATGTGTGTTTAGATGAATCCTTGCTGAAATGAATATTCTTTATGTCCCCCTGTTGGTTTTACAGGGAAGCTATCACTATTGAGGATATTTTCCGGGGTATTTAAGCAAATGGAGGTTTGTATTCCCACCATGTACCTGTCTTGGGCTGAGCAACCGAGCAAGAAATGTATGTCATGGCAAGCCGCCAGCCACGTGAAATGGAGGTGCCCAAACACCCAAAGTTGGTCTTGGTTGTTCAGTGACACCAATTATTGTTCCCCTTTTTATGGAGGCCAAGCCCCACTAAAAATGCTCATCCCCAGAAAGAGGTCCTTTTTTTCCAAGGGCACTGAGCAGCTGAGATAGTCTTGGTTTTGGATTTCAAACCTTCCGAGCAGGACGGCTTCCGAGCATCGAACTAGCACGAGCGAACTGGTGCGGTCACAAGCTTTCAGTAGGATTCGGACCTTCCCAACACTGGATTTCGGTGTTCCTGACCCTTCCCTCAAACTAGGCTGGGCCGAGGCGGGCAACGCGAAGCGTTTACAATTACCCCTGCCACAATCAAACATCAACCAGGAGTTTGTTCATCCCCAGAGTTCACTCGGCTTTTGCGTAAATGGCAACTTGGTCAATTTTGCTTCTGAGGCCCCCATTGAGAAGACTCCAGATCACGGGGGGCTGTTTCTCCCAAAATCATCTGCGTTGTGAACATTGTGACTCCCGCCTCTCTGAAAAGGATGCCGTTCAGCCTGGGCCTCTTGTAGTCAGACATTGGCCCCCCCGCAAGTGCAATCTCTGAAAAGGGGAGACACACCCGACACATGTCCACAAGCAAGAACAAACAAGGAACTGAGCACACGCGCACCCACTGAATTCGCATAAACACAAATGCGTTTCCTCGCAAGTGGCAAGCCCACACATCCTGAGCGCAATTGCCAAGCAAGTTTCTCCTGCTATTCCCTCAGCCAGCAAGAGCCCGAGCCAGAATGTGTCGGATCTGGTGGCAAATCCAGATCTCCAACTCCCAACTGGCAACATTGGCAAGGGGAGGTGTTGCAGTATGACTCGCCCCGCTATGTTTCTCAAGAACCCCTTCTTCCTAACTATGAAGGCCCCCTAATAATACTCATGTACAACAAAATGAACAACAGGTCCGGCAACACAAAATTAGAAATCCATTACTAGAACAGTGGTTTTCCCCCTTTCAGAACGAAAGCGTGTCACTGATTTCTGCAGTCTGAATTCCTTACTCGGAAATTAACGTTGTGAACGATGTTTGAGCCCGGAAGGGGAGACCTCATTTGCACGAGCGCCGAAGAGGACCAAGACGACAGACCGGACCTCGGGCCCCCTAATAACAAAAATGCGTCGCTCTGTTCTTATTCTGGGGAATGGGTTAATCGCAGCATGTGTTCCCCCACGCAGCTTGTGCACACAAGCGCAACTCCGGCGGCTCGCTCGCTTGCACTGCAAGGCACTTAGCGCGCGAACGAACACAACGTTGGAGGGAAATCTGCTGCGTCAACCCAGTCTGAATCAACTGCGTCGGCCGTGGGTAAAATGGTTTGCACCCGCGTCGCTCTGCGAGCCGGGTTTGAAATGCATCCACCTAGGGCAAACTGTGCGCATTCCCATTCATTGAGCACCTGGTGAACTGCATCCAACCTTGTCAAAACGACTACATTCCTGTCACGCCAACCTGACGATCGAGTGATAGTTTCTCAAAACCTGACGATAGAACTCCACAAGTGGCGGGCCCATTTGCGCTTGCACCCTGGTTTGTATTTGCCGGCATTTTCCCAGCACGCGCTGACACGCAAAACGCTCCTTGGCAAAGGAGACATGTTCTGGTGCATTTTGGGCGCGTGGCTCTGGTCTTCCTTTTTACTCAGCATGTGTCAATGCAGCTAAGCTTGTCCCCGCGTGAGGAACGCAAACTAAGCTGTTTGGAAAGGAAGCTAAAAGGACAACATAACTGTCTTGTAAGGATGCATCTTAAGGCCAAAAACAAAGCAAAAAACACCCTCGCAAGGATTTGGATCTTCGGGGTCAGGCCCACAGCTGACGACTTTATCGCTTTGAATGAAGATGATTTACTTGGCCACCCGCAGCCTCTTTCGGCCAATGTGTGTCCACTACCATGCCAACACCCGGCTGAGTCATAGTCAGACCATGGCCCCAAATTCATGGTCAAGAATCAAAAGAAGCGCTTGGAACCATCGTTTGCAAGAAAACGGTTCGCCACAAACCTTCGGCTGCCTGTTGGGTTCTGAATGTGGCTCATGTGTGTTTCCAAAACAGGCCCCCGACAACTGGTTGGCTTGCTACTGGTTTCCCTTCAAACGGCAACCGAAAGGAGGGCATCTGGGACGCCTCCATCTATCCATCAGACACACCCTCAAACAGTGACCTTGGCGCCCCATCAGGAGGGCATACGCGCTGGTCTAAAATTGGGAACAAAAAGAAGTTGAACTAATGTTAAAGCTATATGTTTTTTTGGGCCCCGGATCTTCTCAAGACACATAGGCTCTGGCCACGCGCTAGCCGAGGCTGCGGCAGCTTCCGCGTGGCCTTGCGCCGCGCGGACTCTGCGGTGAACTCCACAAAGGCATAGGGCCTCCAACGCGAACGGCGAAAGGCCAGAGCCTGTTCCTGGTGAAAGTGGTTTTGAATTGTTGAAAAACGCGCCGGGATGAAACCCTTAAACATGGCCCGTTCAATTAAACCAAACCCGGGGCCCCACTTTCAAGACCCCACTCTCTAGACGAGCTGGTAAGTGCAGGATCGTGAGCCCGGTCACATTTTTCAGCGAGCCCGATGCGCATGTCCATGGTTTCAAAGGCTCATGTGTGGCGAAGGACTTTTGGGAGACTTGTGGATGGCTCATGGGCGATCTGGGCCCCCAGTCCGACTTAGTTCTATTCCCCGCCGAGCCACATCCTGAAGCGCGCTGGCGCCTTCGCCAAGCCTGGCGCCTCGCGAAGAAGCCCCGTGTTGCTTTGTTTTTGTTTGTTCCATCGCACACCAAACTGCTACTGTTCTTGCTTGCGTTCTGTAAACAAGGGACCTGGGCTGTGCGTAAGGTTAAAGGAAAACGATTTCGGTCTGACTCGCATTGCATTCCACTCCCCCAGCTCCTGCCCTTTGCAGGTAGAACAGAGGCCTTGCCCGTGCCGCTGAGATAACTCAAGGCTAGCAATTTGCCTTGCAAGGACATCGTGCGCTTGGAATAGACCCAGGGAATTTTGCTGTTTGCAACGGAGCAGGCTTTCCTTGTCAAAGATGTCCATTGTGGTGGGGACATTCGCCGCGGCTCGCCAAGGCAAGGCTGACAAGTCGGCGGACTGCGCCGAGACAAGTCACACAATTTGCCGGCAAGAGCCAAGTTCGACGGCCAAGGTAGCTGGCGCCGGTATGAAGATGGTACGGGATTGACTGCGCCACATTTACGGAAGAAGGGGGCCAGAAATTGCTTATTGAAAATGAGATTGATTGTTGCAATTATTGCAATCATTCAACTCAATTCCAAAAACTGCAATCATTGCAAAATGTGGGGGGGTCCCGGATTTTGCAATTATAGCAACTATTGGAATTCGATTCCAATAGTTGCAACAGTTGCAATAATTGGGGGTGCCGGATTTTGCAATTATTGCAGTTATTGGGATTCAATTCAAATTATCGCAATCGTTGCAATATTTGGTGGCCCCGGATTTTGCAATTGTCGTATTTGATTGGAGCCAAATCTGGGATTAACTAATTATTGTAATCATTGCAATTATTGGAACTCAGTCCCAAGAGTTGCAATAATGTTGCGTCTTCTGATTTTCGCAATTGTCGCAATTAGTGGAAGTTAATTCAACCTGCAAACCTTGGGGGTCCCGGATTTTGTTGGAACTAATTATTGGCCTAGCTTGGGGTCAAATCTGCGATTGGTTAAATATTGCAATTCTTGCAATATTGAAATTGTTGCAATTTCTGGAATTCAGTTCCAACATCTGCAATAATTTCAATAGTTGGTGGTCCCGGATTTTGCAATTATTGCCTTTTTTGCAATGCAATATTTGGAAGTCTCGGATTTGCAGTTCTTGCAATTATTGGAGATCAATTCCAATAATTACAATAACTGCAATTTTTCAGAGGTCCCGGATTTTGCAATTATTGCAATTGTTGGGATTATTTGGCCTTGCTTTAGGCCAAATCTGGGGAATTAAATTCCAATAGTTGCAATAATTCCAATGCTTAGTGGACCCGGATTTTGCAATTATTGCAAGTATTGAAATTCAATTTGCATTGTTTCGAGTCATTGCAACATTTGGCGGTCACTGACTTTGTCATTATCATATTTTTGGTGTTATTTGGCGTGGCTTGAGGTCAAGCCTGAGGTTGATTACTTATTGCAATTATTTCAATTATTGCAAATTATTGAGATTCAATTCCAGTAATTGCACAATTGCATTATTTGGGGGTCCCGGATTCTGCAATTAGTGAAGTTTTATTCCAATAATTGCAAGAATTGCAACATTTAGTGGTCCTCGATTCTGCAAATATTGGAGTTCAATTCGAATAACTTCAATACTTGCAGAATCCTGGAACCCCAGTTAGCTCAATTGTTGAAACTACTTCAACTAATTGAATTTTTGGCTCGGTTTGAGACCAAATCTGGGATTATTTAATTCTTGCAATTAGTGCAATGATTGCAAAATCCGGGACCCCCAAATACTGCAACTATTGTCCGGGTTGGAATTCAATTCCAGTAGTTGCAATAATTCAATACTGGCAATGATTGCAAAAAAAGAGGCCTACATTTGGCCTCAAGCCAGGCCAAATAATTCCAGGAATTGCATTGCTTGCAATCCCAATATTGCAATTGTGGCAACTCTTGGAATTAAATTTCAATAAGTGCGATAATTGCATAATCCGGGACCCCCGAATATTGCAATTGTTGGAGTTCAATTGGGGGGGGAATAGTTGCGATTCTTGCAAAATTGGAGCCCTCTAGATGTTTCAACTATTGCAACTATTGGAATTTAACTTCAATATTTGCAGTCATTGCAAAACCCAGGGCCCCAACATTTTACAATTATTGCAATAATTGGAGTTCAATGTCAATAATTGCAAAAGTTACTTAACACATAGGTGCAATAATTGCAAGACCCGGGACCACCAATTTTGCAATTAGTATTGAAATTGCAATAATTGCAATACTTGCAAGATCCGGGACCCCACATTATTGCAATTTCTGCAATTATTGGAATTCAATTCCAACACGTGCAATAACTGCAATACTTGCAATATTTGCAAAAATGATTATTACCAGATTTCGCCGTAAGCCAGGTCAACAATTTTCCATTAATTGCACCAATTGCAAAATCCGTGCAAGAAATCGAAATTAAATTCTCTTGTTGCACTAATTGAAAAATTCAGGACCACCAGTTATTGCAATTATTCAAAAAGTATTATTCCCAGGTTGGCCCCAACCCAGGCCACATAATTCCAATCATTGCAGTAGTCGCAAAATGCGGAACCCTAAGTATTGCATTTATTGGAGTTCAATCCGGGACCCCACTGCCAAATTTACGACTATTGCAACTATTGGAACTTAATTTCTAACATTGCCATAAACTAAAAATCAGGGACCCCTAATTATTGCAATTCTTGCAACTATTGAAATTCAGTTTCAATACCTGCAAAATCCGGGGACCCCAATAATTTCCCAGGTTGGCTCCAGGTGAGGCCACATAAATCCAATCATTGCAAAAATGATTTCAAAATCCGGGACCCGCAATTATTGCAACTATTCGGATTCAATTCGAGTAATCGCAACAATTGTGTCATCCGAGGCCCCGCAAGATTGGAGTCATCACAATTGACATTGAACTCCGATAGTTGCAATAATTGCAACCAGGTTTGGCCCCAAGCCCAGCCCCCTGGGAATAGTTGGAACACTTGGGAGACATGCTGGGCTTCGAATGAAGTCAAACATGCAAAAGGTATGAGAGGTACTTGCGTGAGCTTCCTAAGAGGCACTCTTCCCTGTAGGAACAATGGGAATCAATAGCAGCAATCCTAACTACATGTTCGCTTCTTCCTGATGATGCGAAAAACTAGCAAAGCTGAATCTGGGACCCACCAAAAGGAAGCAATATATTTAATGTTTGTAGAACATTAGGTGCAATATTTCGAGCAAATAGAAGGAGCTTAAAAATATAAACACAAAACCGGCACTCGTCCCTTTTGGAACAATTAGCATACTATGTAGAACATTCGTACACCTATACTGACGCCATTCATTTTTTCTTTGAATAACTAAGTTGAGTTGAATAAATAGAAACATGACTTTAGAATTCCACATACGGCGCCCGTCCTGACTAGTAAGAAGTATTCGACCATGGGGCTGGAACCTTCCCCAGAGGCACCTGCCCGTTTAAGAATAACTAGCATGATTGGCAAAGCTAGCAGCACACTGGCAGTATGTGTTCTAGTAATAAGTATGAGAAAAATAATATGTGGAAGGCTAGAAAAGCAACATGAAGCTGGAATTCTCTAAAAAGCCGCCAGTTTAAAGTCAGGTTTTTTGGCAAACTGTACCTGGAATCCCCAACAGGCGCCCGGAACAATTAGAATCATAAAGCTAGAACAACTATGCTAATTCGAACAAATAGAAACATGGGCATTGGTTACTTGAGCCAAACGGTCATTGCCGTTCAACATGAGTTCATGCAGTCAACGGGGCCTCCAACATCACATGCATGCACACCCTTCTGGAGAACCTCTTTTGGGGTCAAGGGGTCGTGATTACCCCCTCCCCGCGCTCACTAAGAGACTTGTATTTTACAGTCGCGCTTGAGCTGCGACCCATGTGATGCAAGGTCCTTTACCAGACCATAAGAGGGCTTACCTATGATTTCTGCACTTGTGTTACTGCTTGGTCATCTCAGGCCGGACATCTTTTAACTTTTCGGGCAAATTGGATCTGATGTTTAAAAGCTTGAGAGCGTGGTCCCACTTCAAGGGCTGCAGTGCTTTTGTGAAGATGTCGGCTGCCTGGAGATCGGTTGCTACGTACTTGATCACTACGCCCGCGCCGGGTTCAAGTTGCTCTGCAAGTGCGGACAGGTTCACTTTATGCGTGCGCTGTGTGTGTGCCGCATTTTTAGAGAGTAACCTTTCTTGGCAACGAGGATAGTGGCTTGGTTATCTTCGTGCAGCACCAGCTCAACCGGGCGTCCAAGCAAACGCTCCCACAAGGTCAAGGGGGGAAGACCCTCTTGGTACAAGGAGAATGTGAGCGAAACGACCTCAGCTTCGGTGGGTGGACCTCGACACTGATGTCTGTCGATTGCTCAACCACGCAAAAAGAAAATGGGTGTTCGGTCCTTTGAGAACCAAGAAGCCACCGGACGTGGACTTCGCATCCCTTTCTCCAGCATGGTCGGCATCCGCATACAGAGCGAGGTGAAGATCTTGCGGGTTGTCCTTTATGACTCCTACCAACCAGTAGTGCGTAGTCGAGTGGATGTACGCGATAAGACGGGCGAGTTGCCTATCATGGTTGCGAGACCACTTCTGCACGGCGGTTGCTAAGTCACCTATGGACTTGATGATATCAGGATGCGCTAGTCGTCCCAGCCATAAGGCCTTCATGAGGAGTTTGCACGCGTTTGGGGCTAGCCCCAGCTGACTGATCATCTTCAGAACGGAGTAGTTACCTTCCTGAGCTTCTCGGGCTGAGTGCCGGTTATAGAACAAAACAGTTCTACAGTTTGACGGGCATAGTCGTTCATGTCAAAGGCGACGGCACCCTTTAATGCGCTTACAGCTGCATTCAGATCATGCTCTTGAGGCTCTGCGGGGCCATCTATAAAGACATGATTACGCCCAAGCACCCGAAAGATTGGCTCGGGATTTATCATTTTTGCAAGCTTTTCCCAAAAGGCTTCGTGTGCATCTGCGGGACCTGAGAGGGTCAAGTCAT